AAATGTGATTGTTGGTACATTTTACCAGTTTTTACCATACTTTCAAAACAAAAATTAAAATAGGAAAAATATGCAATATGAAAATAATTGAAGACAAAATGTGTTTTTTAAAAAGCTTTTTTCCAAAAGGTACATCTGGAAAAAGGGGGGGTTGTCTTATAATCAGGGTCGTCTTATATTCGGGCCAATACGGTATTATAGGCTATTAAGCGGAAGTGAATGGTTATAGTTATACTGTAATGTTTGTTCACGGTGCCTTCAGCTCAAAACAGATTTTCAAACATCAGCATGGATTCCGATCACTGAATGAATGAAGCAAAATTACATTAATAACAGACTTCTGTATGATACTTACACAGTGTCTACAGCAGAACCTATTTATTATAATCAATACAGTCTACACTGAATGCGAGATTCCCAACAGCTAACGGATTCCCTGTTATTCCTGATGTAGTCCAGGCTCTTTGCAACGGGCGCTTTGTCGCTTCAAGCAGTCGCATCCGTGTAGACATGGTGTCGCGCCGCGCCACATGCAGTGTAGGAATATCACTGATTATAATCAATGGGCTCTACTGTTTTTTTTTGCTTTCGCTCGCGCCCTGTGTAGACATGTGGCATGCTAATCACTTTCACACCAAATATACTTTAAAAAAAAAAACAGCAGAGACTAGACAAATGTTTCACATGCTGAGAATGCGAACCTACCATATACTGTAAGTATATAAACCATAAATGTTTAAGAACCACTTAGGCTACACCTTTGGCCAATTCATGATCAGGTAGACCTTAAACCGCACGCTTACGCCAGAAAACTACTAACTGGCCAAAATGCTTCGTTTGACTTTTCGGAGATCTACTCTTCCCTGTGGATTACCTCTGACCTACTTTCTATACGATCTGAATTTCTGCGTATTGAATTTGATGTTTCAAATTTCCTCTTCATCTTGAAAACTTGAAGTTGTATTTTTAAAAAGATTTCTAAGATTTCAGAACAAAAAAAAATTGCCGTTTGAAAATGCATGTCTATAAAATTCTACCATAAAAAAAACGTTTAGTTGTGTTAAATTTCAAATGTTTAATATTCAAGTAAATAAAACAATAAAAAAACTAATTCAGAACTATGTTAAATGCCACATAATATTCAGTTTTGTTAAATGACACTTGTCAATTCAAATTTACACAATACAAATTCAATTAGTTTTGTCATTGGTCTCTACTGGTAATTGGTTGCCTATTATTGTTGTTAAAATATTGTTAAAACCACTAAATCCTAATGGAACATGCTCCAAAACACACTACAGCAAACCATTATTTAATTGTTGATGGTTTGTAATGGCATTTGTAATAGAAACCATCACAGAAATTCTAATGGTTTTCATTGTTTTTCGGCAGGGTCACCATGGGTTTTGTGATTTTATTTGCCATAAATGCAGCATTACATTGATTGCTGTAATATTGTGAGACAGTAGCGGCTGTTTGTAGTTGTGGTGGGCCTATTTGGGAGAAAATCCAGGGCTGTTTTTTTACTCCCAGTCCGTCCCTGGATTTAACTGATTTCTGTGACGTGAGGCGGCTAGCAGACAGTCGGTTTAGCCAGTCTGTCTGCCTCCTGACCTGGGCCCCAGTTAGTCAAGTGCTAACTCTAAAGCCCCGTTCACACCAAGACCGAGAACTATAAAGATAACTATAAAGATAACGATATTAGCGTCCACACCAGCGAACGATATCGTCTGTTTATTCTAAGCGCACGCTCATCTGCCGCTTTAATTCTTGAGCTCGTTACAGCAGGATGGATTCTGATTGGCTGTCAGTGTTTTATCGTTCATCAGCTGGAAAAAAAATCGTTTTGAAAGTGATTCCAACTAAGACAGTGAGCAACTCCATTTGTTTGTCCGAGTGAGCAACAGTAACTAAGGGGGGCGGGGCTTACCGACAGGTCAACTGCCATTTTAGATAGACAAACTGTAATACTGTACAAGATTCTGAGGGTAGAGCTTAGATGGCCCTGATTCGCTCTTATGCTTTTGCTCCTCCCCCTCACCTCAAAATGTTCTCATTTTCTTCTCTGCAACCACTCTTTTCTCACAATCTCTCGTTCCACCCTCCAACTTCTCTCTCTTCTCCCCTCTCCATCCGCATCAGACGCTCTCTCTTCTGTTTTAGGTTATTACATGCAGAGGTTTTTGGTCCGATAATTAACACCTCTTTAAGAATTTAGCAGTAGGAAAGTACTAGTCATCAAGTTTTTTTTTTTTTTAGATCAAATTTGCATTGTTAGTTTTGCAAATTGGTATGTTTCATCATTTGCTTTTCTTTCAGAAGATTGAAGTGGGAAAAAAAAAAAAAAATTTACCAAGCCACAGTGTGCAGATTGTCGTCTGGTCTTCTGCTCGTACAAAGACTGGAAAACTCTTCACGATGTTGTCGCACTTCGGGGAATGTAGACTGGAACCGCTGGTTAAAACAAAAAAACACAATCAGACTCAAATGGTCCGTGTGAGAGAGAAGAAAGAGCAAGAAAATGATCCAACGGAGTCAGAGAAAGTCCGAGAGATGAAAAGGGAGAGACAGAGCATGAGAGATGAAAACGTGAGACTGAGATCAAGAACACGAGTACAAGATATAACAAGAGAAGAGCAAGCACGAGAGAAGATGGAGAGAAAAAGAAAGGGTGAGAGATTAAGGTGACACAAGAGAGAACTTCAGCAGAGGTAAAGAGAGGTGGAGACTAGAGATAATGCGAGGAGTGAATGTGAGACAAGGAGAGAAAATTAAGTTTGAGAGTTAGAGGAAGGAACGAGAGAAGAAAACAAAGGGGGAGAAAGGAGTAAGAAATGATTTAGAGTGAAAAGACAGATGGAGAAAAGACACAGGATGAGATGTGAGCGAGTCCCTCCGACTCTCTCATGACTGATCATGTCTCTTTTCTCCCAGTCTCTCTCGTCCCACTCTCTATCATATCTCGTCCTGTTCTCGCCACGCTTCATTCTGCCCTCTCAAATCCCGCCTCTCCCAATCTTCCTACCTTTCCCCTCATTTGCCAAACATTCTCACACCCTCTCTCGTGACCACCTACCCACCAGCACTTCCGTCCTCTTTCTTATCACGGTCGTCTCTCACTTAATCACTTTTCTCTGCATCCACAATCAAACCCACGAACCCCTGATTCTATCTTATCCGCTTGCTTCTCTTCCCCCCTCACCTCCTTACCTCAAATGCTCCAATTTTCTTCTCTTGAACCACACTAGGCTGCACGGTCTTCCCATCGCTTTAGTCAATCTGCTCTACTCACCTTAGTCTTGTGCCTCATGACGTCCTTTCCTTCATCCAGACTGGAGTCCTCAGAGTCTAGCATTGTAATTCCTGTTTCAGGTCAGCACAATCAAAAGCCCAGACCAGTGTCAGTGTAAAGCAGTGGTCACCGACCCGTCGATCACGATCTGTTAGATCTTTATCACGGTCCCAGTAGCTCCCGAAAATAACAGACGAATGAGTACATAAATGGAGAAATGTAATGTGTTTTTGTACTTTTTTTTCAGACTCAAATGGTCCGTGTGAGAGAGAAGAAAGAGCAAGAAAATGATCCAACGGAGTCAGAGAAAGTCCGAGAGATGAAAAGGGAGAGACAGAGCATGAGAGATGAAAACGTGAGACTGAGATCAAGAACACGAGTACAAGATATAACAAGAGAAGAGCAAGCACGAGAGAAGATGGAGAGAAAAAGAAAGGGTGAGAGATTAAGGTGACACAAGAGAGAACTTCAGCGGAGGTAAAGAGAGGTGGAGACTAGAGATAATGCGAGGAGTGAATGTGAGACAAGGAGAGAAAATTAAGTCTGAGAGTTAGAGGAAGGAACGAGAGAAGAAAACAAAGGGGGAGAAAGGAGTAAGAAATGATTTAGAGTGAAAAGACAGATGGAGAAAAGACACAGGATGAGATGTGAGCGAGTCCCTCCGACTCTCTCATGACTGATCATGTCTCTTTTCTCCCAGTCTCTCTCGTCCCACTCTCTATCATATCTCGTCCTGTTCTCGCCACGCTTCATTCTGCCCTCTCAAATCCCGCCTCTCCCAATCTTCCTACCTTTCCCCTCATTTGCCAAACATTCTCACACCCTCTCTCGTGACCACCTACCCACCAGCACTTCCGTCCTCTTTCTTATCACGGTCGTCTCTCACTTAATCACTTTTCTCTGCATCCACAATCAAACCCACGAACCCCTGATTCTATCTTATCCGCTTGCTTCTCTTCCCCCCTCACCTCCTTACCTCAAATGCTCCAATTTTCTTCTCTTGAACCACACTAGGCTGCACGGTCTTCCCATCGCTTTAGTCAATCTGCTCTACTCACCTTAGTCTTGTGCCTCATGACGTCCTTTCCTTCATCCAGACTGGAGTCCTCAGAGTCTAGCATTGTAATTCCTGTTTCAGGTCAGCACAATCAAAAGCCCAGACCAGTGTCAGTGTAAAGCAGTGGTCACCGACCCGTCGATCACGATCTGTTAGATCTTTATCACGGTCCCAGTAGCTCCCGAAAATAACAGACGAATGAGTACATAAATGGAGAAATGTAATGTGTTTTTGTACTTTTTTTTCATTCTGCCCTCTCAAATCCCGCCTCTCCCAATCTTCCTACCTTTCCCCTCATTTGCCAAACATTCTCACACCCTCTCTCGTGACCACCTACCCACCAGCACTTCCGTCCTCTTTCTTATCACGGTCGTCTCTCACTTAATCACTTTTCTCTGCATCCACAATCAAACCCACGAACCCCTGATTCTATCTTATCCGCTTGCTTCTCTTCCCCCCTCACCTCCTTACCTCAAATGCTCCAATTTTCTTCTCTTGAACCACACTAGGCTGCACGGTCTTCCCATCGCTTTAGTCAATCTGCTCTACTCACCTTAGTCTTGTGCCTCATGACGTCCTTTCCTTCATCCAGACTGGAGTCCTCAGAGTCTAGCATTGTAATTCCTGTTTCAGGTCAGCACAATCAAAAGCCCAGACCAGTGTCAGTGTAAAGCAGTGGTCACCGACCCGTCGATCACGATCTGTTAGATCTTTATCACGGTCCCAGTAGCTCCCGAAAATAACAGTAAAAAAAAAGTACAAAAACACATTACATTTCTCCATTTATGTACTCATTCGTCTGTTATTTTCGGGAGCTACTGGGACAGTGATAAAGAAAAATACATCACTCCTGAGTCTGTAAACAGGACATTAGCAAAAGTCAAATACACTGAATACGGACACAAAGAAGAGAAAATACTGTAGCGGGCAGAGCAGCTTACTGTTCATGATGGTCGAAATATAGGAACAAAATGTAAATATTGAATTGGAGGTATGGGGTTATTTTAATATAGCAGACGCCCTCTCTTCTGTTTAAGGTTATTACATGCAGAGGTTTTTGGTCCGATAATTAATACCTCTTTTTAAAGAATTTAGCAGTAGGAAAGTCATCAAGTTTTTTTACATCGACTATGCATTGCTAGTTTTGCAAATTGGTATGTTTCATCAGGCCGCAAAGAAATATAGAACAGCATCATCATTTGCTTTCCTTTCAGAAGATTGTGGCTTGGTAAATATTTTTTTTTTCCCACTTCAGTGTGCAGATTGTCATCTGGTCTTCTGCTCATACAAAGACTGGAAAACTCTTCACAATGTTGTCACACTTCGGGGAATGTAGACCTGAACCGCTGGTTAAAACAAAAAAAAACACAATCAGACTCAAATGGTCCGTGTGAGAGAAGAAAGAGCAAGAAAATGATCTGACGGAGTCAGAGAAAGTCCGAGAGATGAAAACATGAGACTGAGATCAAGAACACGAGAGACAAGAGAGAAAATTAAGTCTGAGTTACAGGAAGGCACGAAAGAAAACAAAGACGGAGAAAGGAGTGAGAAATGATTAAGAGTGAAAAGACAGATGGAGAAAAGATGCAGGGTGAGATCAGAGTGAGCCCCTCCAACCATTGACTAACAGTGATTTCAGACCTGAAACGATACAAGCCCTGCACTCCCATCAAGGGCTGACTTGAAACAGACAGCTCCAACCGGCCTGAACTTATCTGTTGAGGGTTAATGCCCAAAACATACCAAAATGTACAAATCTTACATTATAAAATGGATGCATTATGAATATTTAAATAAACAAATACAATGTTATTAATAGTTGACAATCTTCCTCACCTTTGAGTTGTGCTGAGGCTTTCCGTCCAGCTCCAGACGATGAAATGAAGAGAGGAGATGAGAGACTGTCAGAATGGTAAGGAAATAGATGGAAGAGGGAAAGGAGAGCTCCAGTCTCCTGTCCGCCCATAACTTCTTTTCCCCTCATTGTCCTTCTCTCTTCTCCCCTCCTCATCCAGCCTCGCTCGTCTCTCTTCTCTCTCGCAGGACGTCTCTGCTGATGAAAAGGAACAAACACAGTCTGTTAAAAGAGGGATAAGGCTAGCTTGAAATCACACATTTTGAAGGTGGAACAGAAAATTCAGGGTGGTTTGGTTTCCAAAATGTAATGCCTGCTTTTCACATCCAATCAGCACCCAATGGTTAATAACCAAGCATTTTTTTCCATGTTCAAAAACTCATTTCACTCAGAAATATATCATGCATCCTGGGAGTAAACTCCACTGCAGTAACTTTAACACGATTTTCATACTAGCTCTAGATTTGAACCTGTAGTCATCATTCATACAAGTTATGCTGATTTTTACTTTCAACCTGATTTTGTATCCGTTTTGTGATTAGGTTCCCTACAACTGTGGACTAAGCGGGCCTTTAAGACGTCTCTTGACCAGATTGAGGCGGCGGCGTTCCCAGTGGCAGTCCAGTTGAGTCCTCCTTTGTTTTGTTTACCCAATCATTTTCTCTCCCCACTTTACATTAAGCCTTTATTTTAAATAAATTTCCCTATGAACCAGGCCTTTTGTTATATCTATTTGCGGCCTGATGTAACATACCAATTTGGTAGCATTTTGCAAATTGGTATAATGCCCCGGGCAAAAAATTAAGGGTTTTTCCAGTCTTCACATTTTAGATTTAGTAAAACATAATACCATGCATATTTAAATTTTTCCTTTCTCATTTAAAAAAAAAAAAACGACAACTTGAACCTAGAGAATGTTAAATACAGAACGATCTCAGATCTACCTTTTCTGTCAAAGATATTAGTGAAGGCAGTATCCTCTCCACTATGTTCCTTCTTGGAGAGAAATGCTATCAGTGAGTATTTCCAGTCAGAATTTAGACCGTACCATAGTACTGAGACTGCTCTCATCAAAGTAACAAATTACCAGCGCTCTATTAGTGTCAAGTCAAGTCAATTTATTTATAGAGCACAACTTTAACCACCATCGTTGATCCAAAATGCTTTACAATAAAAAGGTTAGAGAAGCAACAGAGATCAAAATTAAAAGGGAAAAATAAATATAAATATATAGTACCGTACACAGTATCACTCAAATGCAAGAGTGTAAAAATGAGTCTTTAAATTTGATTTAAAAACACCGAGCGATGGAGAGGCCCTGATAGTAAGAGGTAAACTGTTCCAGAGTTTAGGGGCAGCAAAAGCTCAGTCACCTTTGGATTTACAGTGAGAACGAGGGAGAGATAAAAGCTGGTTAACAAGATCTTAATGACCTAGAGGTTGTATATGGCTGGATAAGATCACAGATATAATCCGTGGCTGACTTTTGCAATGCCTTGTATACACAAAAAGGAGGATCTTAAAATCAACTCTGAATTTGATGGAGCCAGTGCAATGAAGCAAGAACAGGAATAATATGCTCCCTCTTTTTTGTTCCTGTCAACAATCTGGCTGCCGCATTTTGAACCATCTGAAGCCGAGATAGAGTGCTTTGAGGAAGGCCGACATACAGAGAGTTACAATAGTCCAGCCTGGAAGAGATTAGTGCATGGATGACAATTTCGAGATCTTTGAGAGAGAAAATGTTTTACTTTCGCAACAGATCTGAGATGGAAGAAACTACTCTTTACAACAGTGTTTACATGCTAGTCAAATTGTAGTAATGGATCGAAATGGACCCTAGATTTTTTTTTTTTTTACATGGTGTTGTAAGTTAATCACTAAGGGAACCTAACCTGCTTGTAAGAGTAGTATTGAGTGCAGCGGGGCCTAGCAGAAGCACCTCCGTTTTGTCAGTGCTCAGCTGCAAAAAATGATTAGCCATCCAAGTTCGCACTTCGTCAAAACATGAGATAAGTTGTAAAGAAGAGTCATTTTCAAGTTTGATTGGATGGTAAATTTGGAGGTCATCGGCGTAGCAATGATAGTTAATATTATATTTCTGGAGAATGGAGCCTAGGGGAAGCATGTAGAGCGAGAACAATAAAGGGCCAAGAACAGAACCCTGAGGAACACCATAAGGGATGGGCACAGAAGGTGAGGTGGACGACCCGATATTTACTGAAAAAGTCCTACCCTTTAAATAAGAGGTGAACCACTGTAATGCCGTGCCTTGAACCCCTACTACACATTTGAGTCGATTCAAGAGGATGTCATGGTCAATAGTGTCGAAGGCTGCACTCAAATCTAACAGTATCAGAATAGCAGATGACCCCGAATCAATGGACAACAAAAGATCATTCATAACTTTAAGCAAGGCCAACTCTGTACTGTGAAGTGCTCTAAAACCAGATTGGAACTTATCCAGAATGTTAAAAGCATCCAGGTAAGTAGTAAACTGTGAAAGCACTGCTTTCTCTAAAACCTTAGAAATAAATGGGAGTTTAGAAATCGGCCGGTAGTTACTAAGAACAGATGTATCAAGGCGAAATCTTTTTAACAGGGGCTGTACAGAAGCGTGTTTAAAAGACTCTGGGAAAACCCCACTAGTCAAAGAACGGTTTATAATAGTTAAAAGAGCAGGGCTAATAGTGTCCAACACCTCTCTAAGCAAACGGCCAGGCAGTACATCGGATTGACTACGTAAATTTCATCTTAGAAATTAATGCACTAAATTGAGATGGAGTCACTGGTTTAAAACTAGTGAAATTGCTAGGAGAGATCGGGTGAGAATGAACCATGCCAGGAGGAGAGAGGTGAGATCTGATATCTTGTACTTTCTGCACAAAAACACCTAAGAATTCTGCGCAGGTCTCAAGATTGCCGACAGGGGCTGAGCAACTTTTGGCCTGTTCGCATTCATGGCAATCAAATTTGAAAAGTATAGAGACTTTGCATCACTGACAGACTCTTGATAGGTGGTTAGACAATCTTTCAAAATTTGATATGAAACCTGAAGCGTTCAGCCCTCCTGCACTCTTGTCTGAGCGCACGGGTAGGAGCATTTAGCCAAGGTTGAGAACTAGATCTAGCTTGCCGCTTTCTAGGCTTCAGCGGAGCAACAGTATTCAATGCAGTAGAACAAGCAGAGTTGAAAAGGAGAACCAGCTGATCAGTGTTCATATCAGGTGACAGACCTCAGAATTAGAAAAAAAACATGTAGAGTAAAAGTTAGAGAATTCTAGTGCAGTAGTGGAGTGAAAAACACGAGAGCTGCATACAGGCTTAGAGAGGATGTGCTGTACATATGGGACTGCAGGTTCAAATAACACAGAACAGTGATCAGAAATACTTGCATCGAGTACTTCCATTGTGTACAGAGAGACCGCGAGTCAAAATAAGATCTAGCGTGTGGCCTAGGTTATGAGTAGGAGAAGAGACACTGTACAAAATTGAGCGAGTCAATGACTCATAAAATTAACCATAGGTTTAGAGGGGCAGCAGACATGGTGCTACATAGTGCTACTGGATCTTAGCTCTGCATCGACCACAACATTCTTTAGAATAGACTTCAAAATGATGTTGGCATTCGTGGAAGAGCATTTCCCACTTATCCGACCGTTATCAGTTCGTAGCAGTGAATGATGAGGTATCATATCGATCACAAGTGCAGTATGGAGTAAAGGACGACTACTAATTTCCTACTGGTAAATTCTGAAAGAAAAAACCCCTAACAAACAGAGGTTTTAATTATTTGACCAAAAACCTCTGCATGTAATAACCTAGAACACTGTCTAACACTCTATGGCTGCTCTGTTAATTCCTCATCATCAGCTAGGAACCTGGGTGTGCTATTTGATAGCAATCTTTCCTTTGAAAACCATGTTTCTAGCATTTGTAAAACCACATTTTTAAGATTTGTCATATCACCTCAAGTCTTCCTCACCTTCGAGCTGAGGCTTTCCATCCAGCGCCAGACGATGAAATGAAGAGAGGAGATGAGAGACTGTCAGAATGGTAAGGAAATAGATGGAAGAGGGAAAGGAGAGCTCCAGTCTCCTGTCCGCCCATAACTTCTTTTCCCCTCATTGTCCTTCTCTCTTCTCCCCTCCTCATCCAGCCTCGCTCGTCTCTCTCGCAGGACGTCTCTGCTGATGAAAAGGAACAAACACCGTCTGTTAAAACAGGAATAAGGCTATCTTGAAATCACACATTTTGAAGGTGGAACAGAAAATTCAGGGTGGTTTTGTTTCCAAAATGTAATGCCCGCTTTTCACATCCAATCAGCACCCAATTGTTAGAGCTGCACGATTAATCGTAAAAAAAAAACGATTCTCCTGTGTCTATTAAACCTTTGACAAAGTCTTACCGGATCATTCAAATCTGCATTCGCACTGCCGCTGACACACAGAGAGCAGTTACAATATTTGGGTAAGAAACAGCTTCACAAACTACACAGTATTATTTCTGTCGTTCAGTCACTCATATCACAGAAATACTGGGATGAAAGTTTATAATTCAGATACAAACATTGATGTCTATGGTAGCGCGACCAAAATAGAGCAAATCCGCATTTGAAAGTAACTGCCACATAACGTGGGTGTCGATTGCATTGTTTCGCCACTAGGTGGACTAAAATTTTTAATGTTTTTTTTGTTTTGTTTTTTTTAAAGAAGTCTCTTCTGCTCACCAAGCCTGCATTTATTTGATCCAAAGTACAGCAAGCGCAAAAAAAAATAAATAAATAAATAAAATAAAAGTCTTTTGAAATATTTTTACCATTTAAAATAACTTTTTGAATATATTTTAAAATGTAATTTATTCCTGTGATTTCAAAGCAACATTTATCTGAAATAGAAATCTTTTGTAACATTATAAACGTCTTTGTCTTCACTTTTGATAAATGTAAAGGATTCTTGCCAAATAAAAGTATTAATTTATATATAAAAACCTAATTTCACATTTAGAAATATATCATGCAGCATGGGAGTAAACTCCACTGCAGTAACTAATAGGGGTCGACCGATTATCAGCGCTGATATTAAGCATTTTTATGATTATCGTATCGGTCATTTTCAAAACCGATTCGCTGATAAAATAACTTAATCTTGAAATGCGCTATTTGGCTCCGATGCAGCCTGTCAGAACTCACCACTCTGTGGCCTAAAGCAGTCTCCGCCCACTGCTCATCTGATTTGTTGGGAGTCACGAGTCTGACCAACCAAAGCTGAAATCACTCACTCCGAAAGCGCTAGCTAACTGGAGCTGCTTCATTGATCACGCATCAGTTGTCTCTCAAAGGTAAGGCAGCAGCAGACGTTGCTTAAATTGCAATAGATCCCAATCCACACATACACATACAAAGTGTGCGACGCTCGCGGTGATTTCAGCTTCTGTCATCTCACTATACGAGGACATAAATACATGAACAACATCTACAGAACTGTTCTGACTCCTCAATTCATGAGCATTTGACAGTTTCATTGGAGTAAAACTATCTTCATATCATTTACATAGACCTACAGAAACAAGTTCCTCATGTCAAAATATAAGTTTGGGTTAGCTTAATGAAATTATCAGAAATATCTGACAACATAACGCCGCTCGCATCATTCACAGTCGGGTTATTAGCAGAGAACACAGAGCTGGTCTTGAATTTCAGGCGCAGGATTGCGGCTATTAATAATAGTTATACTCATTGCCGCAGGTTCCGCGCTTATAACGCGATGACAGATGACGGAACTGATCATTTGCACATGCTTTTGAGTCTCGAGAACTCTCATTTTCTGTGTGCCCACAGATCGCGATAAGGAGAGTGACAGATTTTAATAATTATTAAAGGAGTTTGCAAATGAGATATTGATTTAATACAACAGTTCAATAAACACATACTGCCTGATTTTGCTCATTTCATTCAACGAAAATAGTTCCAAATAAAGTAACAGCTCAACCTGTAGTCATCATTGACAAGTTGCTGATTTTTATTCTCAACCTGATTTTGTATCCGTTTTGTGATTAGGTTCCCTACAACTGTGGACTATCTAAGCAGGCCTATAAGACGTCTCTTGACCAGATTGAGGCAGCAGCATTCCGGTCCAGTTGCACTCTCCTTTTGTGTTGTCCCTCATTATGTTATGGCTTTGGCCGTAACACTGTACAACCCACTGAGAAAACTGTACTCCTGTCCTTCGCAGCCTTGTTTTCACTCATCAAATAAAAATAAAAAAATTAAATAAAAATTAAAAAAATTAAAAAAAGGCACTACCCTGACTAAAGTCTGCTAATCTAATCTGAATGGTTGCGTGAGAGCATTACCTGTTATCAGTTGATAACAGTTATCACCAGATACAGCCCAGTTCTCGCGCGCACAGAACCAGCAGATACCAAACGTGTAGGGCCAGGGGAGGTTTTCCACTAGTTAACCGATCGCGGATGGTTTCATTATTTTGGGCAGATTAAAAAAAATAAATAAATAAAAAAAAAAATAATAAAAAAAAAATGTATGAGGATAAAAATAAATAAAAAAAATGTTTCTCCATATATACTTGGGCGGCTGTTAATATACCTGGGCGGCCTGCCCAAGAGGAAGCACATGTGCAGGCGGTAAATGACAACAACGCAATGTTTCAGATGGTATGGCAAGTGTAAACGCATGAATCGGATATGGGACACCATTGAAAGAACGTGTAAACAGACGGCGCAAAAAAAAATCGGATATAGGCAACAAATCAGAATTGAGCATCAAGACCTGCAGAGTAAACGAGGCCTATGAAATTGAATAATCAAATGTAAAATAACACTGCATAATCATTATGTAAATTAAATATAGATTAATCCTTGTTAAAGCTACAAAAGTTATTTGGTCAATTGCAATAAGATATTTTCTTTGTCTTTTGTTTGATTAACGTTAATGACATTGAAAGGAGTGAGTACAGTATAGGCTGCTGTCACTTTAAGAACTAATACACAGACCAATGTATTGATACACATCTGATTAACAGACCGAGTTACAAGAATACTCGGCAAGACCAGTATTTGACAATTGTGTGCGTATTTGTCCATTCAAGCACACGTAGATGTGAAAGAACTCAATTCTGTGTTTGTGCTGTCAGAGATGTGGCTCTCTGTGCGCGAAAAGAAAACACGTGAATCGTTCTCTTTTGTATCTTCGTGCACTTGAATGGTTTAAATTGCTTGAAGTCGTGTTTGATCAATTTTAATGATTGTGCACACAAATTAAAGCGACAAAATATTTAGTCTGTTAGATTGATGGGGCACAGTAACAGCTATGAACAAACACATGAACAGATTATAAAAGATTAAAAAAATAAAATAAAAAAAGCTTTGCATATACCAGAAAATTGACACTGCTTTTGTCCATGGGTAGGGAAATCAACAAGGGATTAGGGCAAAAATGCTACCAAATTGGACAAATGCCCCTGGGCAAATAAACTAGCCTAAATCTATTTCAGCTGTTGTGAATAAAGTGTAATTGAAAATGAAAGTGTTAATTGTAGCATCAAATTTATTTTTGCTCATATTGCATTATATTTTAATTTTCACATTTGCACATTATAACCAATCACACACGATTCTGTTAAGCTTATGAATGCAATAGCCAATCAGAGGGGTTCAGATTAGCAAGCACTTTTATTTTAATTTTTTTCCCAAATCTAATTATTTGAACAGATAATATATCAAGTTACAGCATATTTTATAAAAAATAAATTTTATAAAAAATAATTTAATAAATAAAAGGCTTAGCCTACCTGTTAAACATGAAGGAAACACAAAAGCTAATGTGCTCATTTACAATAAACAATCAACCTTGTTAAAATCAAATCAAATAGGCTATACAACGCCAACTGTCCCTTTTATTTACAAATGAAATTCAAGGTCACGGTAGTTTTTATTGTCTCCCTGGGGAGAAATTGGTTTTGGATTTAAGGCATCAAGATTTTTTGGTATATAAATAGTTACACTGAATGACATTTTAGTGCGTGTCTTCTGTCAAACAAACGCATGATAATTTTTTTATTCAGAAAAATAGGAATAAAAACTTAAACCGGACACATTATGTATGGGGAAAAAAACTAAACTTAAAGCTGTATTGTACTTTTATTTTGATGCTTGAAACACCCTTTTCGTCTTTGACCCATTTACAAGTATTTTAAAAATGAAAAGACACTTTAAATGTGAAATGGAAACCACCAGCAGGTGGCAGCAAGTCACTGTTAATAGGCGAGTCATTGCGATTGAACAATCATTTAAACTGTTGCTTCATTCAGGAACGAATCGCCATCATGTTGCTCAGAGATGCAAAACAGTGCTGTGACGGTGTTTGGAATTATTTTTGTTACCGAAATAGAACAAAAGCAGGCAATATGGGGTCTAAAAGTTAAGTCTCTTAATATTACCTTGTTTGAACCGTTGCATAAAATCAGTATCACATATGGAACGATATTCCGGACAATTTTCAAATAGAATAGCAAATTGTATTTTCAATTGCGTTTTCAATATGTGGACGCATAAATTGTGACAATTATCTGTCAGTGCTGGGCAACTAAATGAAAAGCGCCCTGAAAGCGTGTTCTCTGGCATTGCTAAACATAACCGTGATCACAGCAATACAAGCACTCTCAAACCGACTGACACGACCTTTTACAACCAAAAACAGACGGGAATCAACATCTGCTTGCTATCTAGCTACACGTTTACTCAACTCACTTTAAACCAGCATCCAGAGCTTTTAATAACTTCCATTTGCGATTTATTACGGATTTTGGTCATTTAACATTGCTGAAATACATTTTTTACACTCGCTTAGCATCTCATTAACACCCTTTATCGTTACGAAAATAGCCCAAACTGCATGTAAATCACATACAAATCATATACTGACAGTCAGAATCATGCATTTGTTGGCTTAATGTGTTTATGAACGGAACAGAGCACGGAAGAGTAGCAGAAGAGACAGGTGGATTATGAAAGGTAATATGAGAGAGATGTGCAGCAAATCAGCTTCATTAATGCTGCCTTCACATGCTATTTCCCATTAATGAAGGTGTGATTACAAGCTTGTCGAATAAAGAGTAGCATCCCAATGATCGTTCACATTTAGCCTATAAATACACTACTTTAGCGAC